ACCCCCCCCCTCCTCTACCACCCGTTGTACCACGTTTTACCCGAAGCCCCCGAGCGAATCCGTCAAGAAGTCGAAGTCCTCTGCTTCCGTTCGCTCCTCCGTCAAACTCTCTCCCACGCTCTCATTCCCGACATCCGCGGTAGCCGCCGCCGCCGCCGCCCCGCCGCCAACGCCCCGCCGCCCTCCCGGCGTTCCTCCTCTCGGGGAGCAAGGAGGGCTGTTGTGCGCCCTCGCGAACGGATTCCTGCTCCGCTGCTGCTGCCGCCGCTGCTCAGACAGGACTCGGAGATTGGACTCGTCCGGATCCAGGAAGCGCATCATTAGGTGCCCCGACAAGTGAGGCGCCGACAACGCCTCCTGAAAAGCGGGGTTTTTGGTTCACGCATACGTGCACGCGCGCAACGTTTTGGTGTTTTTTTCGTCGCCGCGGAGAGAGAGGTAGGGGGAAAAGGGGGGGGGGGGGGCACGGGTATGTCAGACTAGACCAACGGTGTACGACCGTCGCCCTGACTCCGATCAAAAAAAGAGGGGAAAGTAAAGGGTCTCGGGAAGCATTTCTCATCGGTTTCTAGAAGAGGAGGATAAGGGGCCGTGCGTGCATATCGCGCTACGTTCCTCTTTGTGACGGAGCATCTCCCCCAGCGACCATGTGCGCAACCAAAATAGGCAATTTCGCAGCAAAAAACTGTTGTCCACAAGGCGCCGTGCACCGCACAAGCCAATCGATTCTACCGGCCGACGCGGCCTTGTCGAAAAAAAAAATCCACCCGCTCATTACTCTCGTATTCACAAACATTCCCGACGACGCATTCCGCCTACCTTAACAGCGGCCCTCAGGTACGCCTCCAGGGCTGCGCGGCGTTTCTCAAGGTGCTCCTTGTCGAACTTGTTCGCCCTCCACGTCTTCCTAGGCAGCCCCGGCGCGAGTCCACCGCCGCCGCCGCCGCCGTCATCGCCATTTCTGGCCACCGCCGCGGCCGCGGCCGCGGGAATGTCTATCCCGAGCCTCAGCAGGCGCTTCCGGAGCTGCGTGAACTCTCGGTACCTTCTCGGAGACTCCCACGCCTCCTGGGTGGCCTCGACCCGGGTGTGCACGACGAAGCTCACGTGCGCTCCGTCGTCATCGGAAGTCTGCAGAGAACGAACAAAAAAAAATAGCACCAGTCAGTGTGAAAAAACGGAATCGTCCTCGGCAGGCGTTGGGAGAATTGTTCCGTTTTGCGATAATGTGATCTCCGTAAGCGGGCGTTATTGTTGGGCGGAAGAAAAGGTCATCGTGTAACGCTTCATCGTCCACCTATCTCACGGCTCTTGGGAGGGGTCCCGACCCGTCATGTGGGTTATACATGCCGTCCGACCGCCGCACATCGAAAACGGTCCGTGCTGCAGACAACAAACGTTCGGCAATTGCAGGACAGAGCCCCTCCGCGACACTTCCGAGCATCCTTGATACCACGAGCCCTGGTACCCACCACGTTTTTTGCGCTTACCTCCGTCCAGCTCGTAACTCTCACGTCGACGCCGGTGTTGCTCATCACCGCGACCTGGGTCGGCGGCGGGGGCGCGAAGGGGTCTCTCAGCGCGTCCCCCACGAAAGCGAAGAGCCAGCCGACGGCGTCGTCGAAGGAGCGAAGCAGCTCTCCTGGCTCTTTCCCGCTGCTGCTGTCGCCCCCACCGCCGGTAACTTCTTCTTCTGGGCGGTGGTAGCCGGCGCACACCGGGGCCAGCAAGCGGTGAGACACCATGTCTTGTCCCAGCCGGACGGCGCTGGCGCGGTCCCCGTTGCACACCTTTTCTCTCATCAGCCACCGGACTACCTGCAGAAACGGGGTCGGGCACGCAATGCCGCGCGGGGTCGGGCGATACTTACGTGTCTCCACCATAAACTACCCTGGCGTTCGTCATGAGTACCACGAAGCATGTGTCAACTGCAGCGAGCTCTGTTCCGGTTCATTGTCCCGGCCAATCTCAGCGCAAGGGCTGGCTACAAATGAGCCCCCAAGAAACCAAAACGAACCGGGGCCCTGAAGATCTTCTGGAAAAAAATGCGACCGCAAAAAAATAAAATCATAAACCACAGCAAGCAGCACGTACCTGCTCTCCCGTCACGGCGGGGCTAATGCACCGAAGACGAACGAACTGCTCCCCGGCGGGGGTCGCGCGCCGCAGCCTAACCGCCAGGCGCTTGAGCCAGGTCCCGTAGTCCGACGCCAGCGCCGCGCCCGCCACGGCCTGTCCCGCGGCCGAGGGACCACTGCCGCCATCAGCCTTGCCGGAGGAGAAAGGTCGCCGGTGGTGTGACGACGTGCTGGCTGTTGTGTGCCTCGACCCTCGCTCGTCGTCGTCGTTGACGAGGAGGTCGTCGGAGGTGAAGTAGCCGTCCGAGCCGTGATCGGAGCCCGCCTCCGCCCCCCCGCCGCCGTTGGCGGAGAGGTCGTCCGCGGGGAGCGAGGCCGGGGCCGGCTGCGCCAGGTAGTCCATGACGGCCGTGCTGCGGAGGTAGGGACAGGCACATAGAGAGGGAGAGAGATGGCGGGGTTGGGGCGGGGCGGGGCGGGGGGGGGGGGGGGGGGGGGGGTAAAAAGGTAAAAATTTTTTAATAT